AAGGGTCTAGGCCCGAAACGTCAGCCTCTCTGCTCCTATGATGCTGCTTGGCCTGCTGTGTTCATCCAGCCCTGCACCTTGTTGTCTCAAATATGTGGCAAGTAGTATTACCCTCTGCCCGGAACTAAGGTATGTTTGTTTTGTAAGAATACCAATTCTTTGCATAAGACTAATAACAACAAAATATAAGTTTGAAAAAACGCTGTGTTTTAACAGATTAATCAACAACGTTAGTTTTAAACTTTGAAAGGCAGAGGTTTAGATACTAGTTAGTGTTCAAAAGCAAATGCAGTAAACTAGCAGAACTTGTGAACAGCTGTACAACTGTGGCAAGCAATTAATGAGTTTTGCATTAGCTATTTTTTGAAGCTGAAGAAATTTTCTTTTTTCAAAACAAGTAGTTATTTCACACTTCTAAATTAAGGCAATTTTCTTCTCAACTCAAATAACGATCAACATTCAGGCAGTATTTCACGAAAATTTAGGAGTGCGGTTAGCAATTAAACATCTCCAAGATGAACAAATAAGGGTCCTACCCAAGTGTAGAGTTTGAGAGATGTTGGAAGCAGGTTGACAAGAAGGGGGAAAGAAGAGCTTTTATATCACTAAAATTTTACCTGCTCTTGTTAGCATCTCAAACTCGGAGACTGTTTCCTGCAGAGGCTGCATACCTTTACTAGGTGCCTCAGTGAACGAGAGCCCCTGGCTATCATTATGTACCACCTGCGTTACAACTTCTGCTTTGTTTCCAAGTGAGGGCTTTAAGAACACTTTGGGTTCAATGTCGAGTTCAAACTGTGAAAAGGAGCAGAAAAGCAAAAAAAAAAGGTTAGGCATGAATTTTTTTTCAAAGAAGAAAATGCATAGCAGATTAGTCAGTATTGAACATGGAAACAAATTAACATTGCTGAGTGAACCTTCCATAATTTCTGAATTAAATATAATCTTTCTAGAAACTAGGAAGGCTCCAGTATTTACAAATCAACACTGACACAGGTATAAGCACATTTCTGCACACGCAAAACCTGAATACAAATTACTATCAATACGAATTACTATCATATTTATTAATCTAGTATGTTTTTATTATAACCATGGATCATTTGCAGAAGCTCCTCTCGCACCATTTTGTTTGTTGCCCCAAGTCTTACTGCATCTGGACTGCCAGTCAAGACTTGCCCAGCTGTTGAAAGAATTCATAACTGCTGCCTGTTTTTCAGGACATGAAAAACAGGTAGGAAACCCTATTACGAAGTTTAAGCTTGTTCCAAGCTTTTTCTGTAAAAGCACAAATAGCATCTTTAAAGAGAAACGTTGGTCCTCCAATTGACTGACATTCCAAAAACTGACTTACAGTACCCCTGACTGTAGATGTCAATTTCTATTTTCAGTGTTCCTCAAATGCAGGAATGATGGTTCAAAGGAAAAGACAGCAAAGATGAAACAGTGAACAAAACTAGATGATGAATGGTTTTATCCTGGTCTCAACTCCACTTTCCTGCCTGCTTCCCACAGCTCTTTATCCCACTTTCATCAGAAACGTATCTATTTCTTTGTTGAATTTGTTGATCGATTCTGCTTCCACTGTACCCTGAGGCAGTGAGCTCCACAGATTCACAGCAGTTTCTCCTCATTTCAGTTTTGAGCCTACCTCCTCTCACTCTATATCTATGATCTCTTGTTCAAGACTGTCCCACAAGAGGAAACATCTGTTCAACGTCCACCTTATCAATGCCCTTTAGCAATCCGATCTCCTTTCATTCTTCTGAACTCCAACAAACACAAGCCCAAGCTATTCAACTATTTCTTGTACAACAACCCTTTCATTTCTGAAATTAATCTGGTGACCCTCCTCTGAACTGCCTCCAGCGCTACCAAATCCTTCAAGTAAGACGACCAAAACTGGACACAACACTATGTGCGGTCTCACCAACACCTTATATAATTGTAACCACACTTCTTTACTTTTATAATCCAGTCATTTTGCAATAAATACCAGGATTCCACTTGCTTCTCTTATTATATGCTGTAACTGTAGACCTACTGTCTGCCATTCATGCACTAAGATGCCCAGATTCCTCTGCACTGACACACTTTGAATTTAAATAATAAGCTGTCCTTTTATTTTTCCAGCCAAAAATGGACAACCTTGCACTCATCCACATTAAACTCCCTCTGCCAGATTCTGGCCCATTCTCATAGAATTTACCGATGGATAGTCATAGGCTATCTCCTCATCACAGCCTGCTTTTCCACTTACATTAATATGATCCATGAATTTTGCTACATTATGCTCAGTCTCTGCTCACAGATCATTTATATAGGTTGCAAATAGTTGAGGTCTGAGAACTGAACCCTGTGACACCCCACTAGTTACAGTTCACCACCCAGAGAATGATCCATTTACCCCAACCCTCTACTTTCTGCCAGACAGCTGATCCTCTATCCAAGCCAATACTCTACGCTTAGCCCTTCTGGATCTAACCTTCTGGATCAGACTTTTATGCAGCACCTTGTCAAATGTCTTCTGGAAGTCTAGATTTACCATATCCAACTGATCCCCATTATCTATCTTGCTACAGCAAGGTCCTCCCAACACCTCTCTATAGCAAAGCTTTCACATTTCAACAACTGGCCATGAAAAGAAAATTTTCCAATTTTTCCCTTTTAATTTACAGCAACAATTTTGAATTGCCTCATTGTCATTGAATCCCAATGCTTCTGTAAAATGAGCAAACCTCATTAACGTAAACAAGTTGTTTCTTGCCATCAAATAAACTTCTATCCATGCTGCTGTCTATTGACTGATATTATATGTTTGATTTTGCATTCAAAGAATCTTTGGAATGTCATCCAAACACTATATATGCAACATTTCCTATATCCAAATGGTAATTTCTTCAAAAATGTTCAGGTTTGCTAAGTGTTATATTTATAAACAAATACATGCTGACTAGGCTTAATTATCCCATTCTTTTCTAAATGCTCGCTAATGTGATTATTATAAATTCTAAGGGTTACCCACAACTAACATTAGACGGAGCTACAGAAAAGGGGGAAATCAAGACTGTTAAAATGTGGGCAGTCAATGAGTTCAAGTCTTTTTTCTAAAAAAAAAAGGGAAGAAGAGGGTTCCAAAAGAGAGCAGCAGAGTGGGCAAACAAATTATTAAAGGTGGGCTGAAGTTAAAGGCAGAATTTGAAAGTATATGAGATGATGCAAGGTTGGGGAAGGCTATTATACACAAGTTTCCTTTATACTTAACTTGGCAATCATTAAAACAAACTATTTTTCACGTTCATTTTAATCCAGAAATTTATACATACACACACTGATGGACATGTACACAAATATACAAGTATACAGATACAGCAACCACTAAATTAATATTCAGAACTATGTAGTTTGGTTCCGGTTCTGAGAATAAACTGAAGATTTGATTATCGAACTGGTAGGTGACTGAAACACATTCAGACCCAGCTTGTAAGCCAAACTACTGAGCTGCCCTCAAGATAAAGCAGTGACCTACACAGTTCAGATAGCTTCTGCTTCAAATAGTCTCAGATTCCGTGTGATATTTACCGTGTAAATTAATCTTAAAACTTGGACTTGTTACAAATATGGATGCATAAACTAAAATATTACAGCCCTTCTAATTATATTTCTACTTAGAATTTAAAAATAATTATGTTCAATAAAATCAAGCAAATACATATCTTTTCTGCTTTCCATTTAAAGTACTTTTGCCAATCATGTGCTACTGATGCAACAGATGGTCAGCAATAACCTAAATGCCAAATCAAGCCAAACAAATTTACTTCACCTCTTAATACAGGGTATAATATAATAATAAAATACAATAATATAATACAATAGCACCTAGAAGGAGTTTTATTAGTAATGCCTCAGTAAATATACGTGTGAAATTTTCCTAATTCAACAGTGAAAAATAGGGGGCAGTTCGTACTATTAACATCAAGATGAAATACTGGTGATGGTGACTACACAGCAATGGCAGAAAATGGAGGATGAACGTAGCAAGTTACACAAGTGGATTTTGAGAGTGATCTCTTCCCTAGTTTTTAATGGCACAAATACTTTAAACAGCCTGTGCAATTATATCACATCTGAAAATAAATTCCTCTTCCTGAATTAGGACGTGTTTCAAATTTTCTCACATCCAGATTTTCTCAACCCTGAAGATGGTAAATTTTGTAAAGTGAAACATTTATCCAAAACTGATACTACAAAATAGAAATCAAACAGGTGCAATGGTTAAAAACTAGATTTATCCTGACAACAGCCTGAGAGAAGACTTACTTTCTATGCATGCATCCCATAGGCAAGCATTGGTTCCCTTCCTTTCATCTGTACATTTCACTAGATGTACCGCTTCACATTTCAGAATCTCCACAATGGAACGTTCACACTTCTGGGATATATTATTTGCTCCTTTACCTTTTCCTTATTTAACATCCTACTATGAGCTAGGATATTTGAGCATCAGCAAGCCAAATGAAAAAAGGTGTATTTTTAAAATAGCCTTGGTTTTTACTTTTTTTTTCACTTTGTGGAAACTGCATCACCTCACCAACTATCCATAAACTGAATTCAAGTAAGTGGGGCTCAACAAACGCTCGACAGCTTCAGGGGTTTAAGAAAAGCATTTATGTACTCTCAAAATGTGTTGTAATTTGTATACATCTATAACTGCTGATACTACTGTGTTACTATATCCCCACCTTCCTCTAAATATGAAAATTTTTCTTTTCACCTCTGTATTTAGTTCCTGAGTCACTGCAAAGCTGCAGCACAAAAACTTAAATTGACATTTTTAAAATAATGAGAACTTCAAACAGATGTTTTCACCCAAGGTGAATCTAAAACAATTCTGTATTTATTATGCCTGTCTTGGCATTGCAATCTCACCTGTATAGAGCTGTTATCAAACATTTCTACTGACAGCTCTTCTTCATCTTCTGTTGGCTCCTTTACCATACCAGCAAAATTTTCTGATTCGTAGAACTGAAGGAAAATGGGGGCACGACTAGAATTGCGTTGGATTTCTACACGGAGGATCCCATCTCTTGGCCATTTTTCGCGGACGTGCTCCAAGCAATTGATTGGAGAGCGAGAAAAGGCAATGTGAATATAGGCCAAAATAAAAAGGACAAAGAGAGCCTGGAAAAGAAAAATACACAATTAATATTCTTATGAATAGCAAGCACGCAGTTTCTTTGGGGAATAGGGTAGGTTTAGAAAACATACATATCTAAATCTATGCACTACAATAAAACCACACAACAGAGGTTTCTCTGTCAGGGGTGCCATCTATTTCCCATTATATTTCAGAACAAGAATTCCTACAGAATAAATAATATTGATCATCTCAATTAAGACAAAAATCCAAATTATCACTGCAAAGTACCCACTATTGATACCCTGGATGTTACTAAAGGAAAGGTAAAGTTGCCACTATCCCAGACTTCTATGTCTTTAGACTGAGATAACTCATGGTGAGTTTAACCTGAGGGTCACCAAGGCAAGATTGAGAAAGTGGGACTTTCATGGTGATCTCTGTCAGTGTGAGAAATGAAATGAACTTGAGCTGGAAGTTATTATTAACTAGAGGATTCACTGAACACATCACATTACGACAATGGATTGAAGCAAGGTAGAAGGCCTGGTAATTTGCAATGAACACTGCACCTGCTGACCGCAAAAGGTCACTCTGTAATCTACCAATTGAGAGTGTGAAGAAATATTTAGTACTCGCCTTTTATGGCTAGAGCTGCAACCCTCAACACCATCCAGAATAAACAGATTATACATTTCATCGGTGCTGTGGTATTTGGACTACATCTAGCCCCTTCAATACTGGCAGTGGCTCCAGTATGTGATAGACAATGGCAAAACACCATGAAATTAGGTAGAACCACCTTTCTTCTCAGTTTTATAAACAAATTAGCCAAGATCAGCAAGTCTATGGAAAGATAACTCCCAAGAAACACACTACCATGAACGAGACATATCTGGTCTTCCATTTCTGCTGGAGCAGAATCCTAAAATTTCCTAACCATGCCCTTGTGGGTATGTCAAACAAGTGCAGTTCCTCAAGGAAATTGCCAGTCTCAGGTTAAATAAATATAGACAGCAAATACAGTCTTGTTGGGCTCGCACAAAGTTTAAGTGGAATTTTCTTTTCATTTGTACTTGGAGAAATAAAGTCCTTCCAAATATCTTCATTAAACCAAAGTGTTCTCAAATGGAACCTATTGCCAACACTAAATGAACCAAGACAGCAAGGCTCAACTAAGGAGGATCAATAAACAGTAGATGATGATGGACATGTCACAATCTCAGGGGATATATCCGCAACCTTCTAATGGAAGGAATGCAGACTTAGACAACAAGTCTTTCACCTTAAAGACATAGGTACAATTCTAGTCCAGCCTCAAGCTGGGAGGTTCCTATACAAAACTAATGTGCGCAGCCTCAAGCTTTCAGAGCAGCTGCAGTACCACAGCTATGGATAATGGAATAATGCATTTGGAACTCTCTTCAGGTAGGACTGAGAAATATTGACGCAGAAGAGTAGTCAGATTCTTACAAATGCTGCTGAATTTAAGACTTGCCCCCCAGTACGACTGAGATAGCTCTATCGAGACAGACAGTTTGAGAAGGAATTTTAGTAAAGATGCACAGAAAGGTACAATTGCAGACATTTTGGTATGTTTAATGCTGAAACTGGTGGACTCATTCTGTGACCTGCAAAGGAAATTGCCTAACAATCTATGAATTAGCATCTATTTGAAAACCCAAGATAAATCAACTACAAGTGCCAGATCTTGCAACCACCCATTTTGTTGTGGAAATGAACCCAACATTAACACCTTCAACTCAAGAGGGGAAAAAAAAAATTGCAATCTTCACATTAACTAGATGAAAGGTTCTAAGTTTTGGTAGTTGAAACCTTACAGGATATTAGGAAACTTTCTATCACTAGTGATGTGCCCACCTGCTAATTTGAATATTGTCCATGACATGAAATATTCAGTTTTAGACATGTTGCCATTTCATATAAATTTGCAATGTCTGCTGGATGTCAACCTGTTACAGCAACTCAAAAATGGATTCGACTAGGTACACTGAAAATCAATTTTAACAGTCTGCTTTAACGAAGGAGAAAACAAACAGAATCAGAAACAGAATTTTACAGCATGAAGAAGTTGCAAACTTATTGCAAAATCTAGGCCCCATCTTGAAAAATAACCAATACAAATTACTCAAAGTGCAGTCATCACTAACTGGAACAACTGCAAACAAAGAGACTTAAGAAATATACCCAAAGGAATTTATCCTGATAAACATGGTCCACAAATCTGAAACTGGATGTATTCCATAAAAATAAATTGCATCAGGTCTGTCATCTTAACACTAACAACCACCTGTAACAGACATCAGAGCCTGCTACTCAACAGAAATTTAAAAGGAGCATAAATAGACACAGAAGCAAATTTTCAGGCAAGTTTTAAGAGCATCGGAAAATGCAAATGTAGTTTTCAAAAAGACATTTCCACCAAAAAGCACAGTTTAAGGTAAATCAATGGGAGAGAGCTATTTGTTCTATGGACAATGTTTCTGTAGTTAACTCTCACTCCTGGCATCATTCCAGCAATGGGACACTCAAAGGATCAAGCTAAGTTAGATCACAATGTGCACATTTGAACATTGCACAATTACAATAGGACACAGTGCTCAATCTTCAAAAATGCATTGATTTTTGGCAAGGCTACAGAAACAGGAAATAGATCTATTTTGGAATCCAGAAAAAATTCAGTAAAGTTCATAGACATGTTTCTGATCAAACATCCACTTTCCAAGAGGGTCAGCAAAATGTCAGTATATACTTAACCTGAACCGGATGGGAATATTTTAGCAGAACTCCATCCATTACAAAGTTATGTACTGAATAGTTCAGGAGAAAGAAATAGTTAAGATAAAACTGCAGGAAGTAAACACTTTCTTATATAATTACCTACTTGTGCCACTTGGCATCTTAAAGTAAACATTTAAGTGTTCATTAGTGCACCCCAAGAGTTCTTGTTTCAACTTAATTTTTTTTGTGACATGAAAGTTATCCTAAGTTTTCCTGTTCTGCATTAAGATTATACTGGTAATGGGTGGTCTCCAATGGCATTGCTTTTTGAAGTGCTAACACATTATGTTCAACTCATTACAAGCTCCCTTCCCTTTCATATGTCACCAATTGAAGTGCCCAAATTGAAATAACACCACATATCATTATACTTAGAAAACATTTTCAATTTCATTGAAACCATCTATATATCCATGGTGGAAAATATTCATGTCCTATACTTCCCCTTTAAGGAAACCATAGATTTTTCAGCAGCACTGAAGAGGTCATGAATCCCAAGATTAATTACATCAATGTATCCAATTAAAATGTTACAAATTGTAATCAAAAATTTGGGATTCCCACTTACTACCCTAACTAACATTTTAGCTATCTGTAGAACATTTGTACAGCCATTTGTATGGAGTAGAGGAACAGGAAAATTGGTGGATATGGGACACAGTACAGTGTCATGTGAGCATTTCTTTACAATATGAAGAAGAAGGTACCATGTTATTTATGTTCAGGCACTTTTTCCTGTTTTGGAACCAAGCACATCTCTGATTTCTTAACATGCTCAAAAATGTCATAACATTTAATTTCAAATCTACAATTAGATAGTAGATATTATGACAGAGAATTATGAAACCTAAGTAAACATAGGAATAGATGCCATCTATAGTCGCCATACTCATATCAAACCATAGGGTTGTTCTCGCATGAGTGTGAGGTCAGACAGAGAGAGATTGCAGGGAAGGGGGAAGAGGAAAAGGACTGGTGGTGGTTTAACCTGTAGGACACCATATGTCAGTTGAGGGAATGTTGAGAAGGACAGTCTTTAATAGTAATCTCAGCTAGCCTGCGAATTGAACGTATGCTGCTGGCATCAGTCTGCATCATAAGCAAGCTGTCCAGCCAAGCAGGAATACTCAACCTTACCGGCAACAAGTATTTCACCGAGTTATGCGATTATCTTCACGAGCAGAGTACATATAACCACATGCTACTAGAATACATTACATTTGAAAGCTTAATTGCATAGAAGATTAGGTTTTAAAGGGCAAAAGTCCACAAGATTGGTGAACAGTATCGTTGTTTTGCCAAGTATTTATCAGTACTGTAACGTGCATAATGCCGCAAGTAATATTTTCACAGCTCCATGTAATTCGTCAATGTCAATGCCACTCCTCTGGAAACATGCTATTATCTAAAACGACCTAGCTAAGCCTCAACTTTTCGGTGTATACCAAAGTGAGTCGAACTTCGTAGATGTAAGATTCTTAAAGATACTGCAAACAGCATGTGTTTTGTTCATCTTGCTGCAATCTTTTTTTAAAACAGAAAACAGCTCACCAAATACTAGATTGAAACAATCATGAAATTTATACAAACAATTGTCAATCTGCACAATCCTCTCACCAAACAGACTGACTGATCTGGGGCAATCAAATTTTATGGAGGTTTAGGAATAAAGATTCGCTGTAACGTAATTAATTACTGCCTCATTCAATCCTTCAGCACGGAAAGCAAGTCAGCTTATCGTATCTCCACCAGCCTCTTCGTAAAGTTATCCAATTAATTCCAGCTCCCTTTCACAATTTATCCAATTCTCTTTGAGAATGTTATAACTGAACCTGATTATACAACCCTTTCAAGCAGTAAATTCCAGATCAGAACAATGTGCTGTGTAGAATAAAGTTTCATGTCATCCCTTTTTTTTTGTCTATTGATCACTTTAAACCTGCGTTGTTGGTTTGCTAACTGTCACCGGGAATGATTTCTCCTTATGTACGCTATCTAAAGTTTTTGTGTTTCTGATCACCTCTATCAGAACACTTCTTAATATTCTCTGCTCCATAAAGAACCATTTTCTGTGCATTACTTATCCCAACACATTTCTCCTTAAACCACCCTACCTACCTTGAACAGCACAACAGGAGGAATTATTAAATTATTACATATTTTATTAAAGTCACTAAAGTAACAAAAATCAAGAGCACGAATGACACAAGCAAAATAGTGACATTTCATAACATCATTAAAG